TATATATATATATATATATATATATATATATATCCAAACTCTCATCCTCACTTTTATAATCTCATTTCCCACTTTGATACAAATGTGACATTATAAATTAAACATCCCTATTCAAACTTTAATCCCTCTACGAGAAGCAGCTTCTCATAATCTACAATCTTAACAATGATGTCGATTTTGTCTTCAACGACCATTGTTTCTAACAAAGGAGTTTGATCTCATGATCAACTACTTCTTTTATCATGCATGAATTCATGTGTTGCAAGAATGTCCACTACTTTATCACTATGTCGCCTTCTTTAAGGTTAAGAATAATATTGGTTGGCTTAAAACCACCAAGGTTGTTATCATTTACTGTGATCATTGTAGTAGCTACAAAGTCATAGTGACAAAAGAGGTTGTTTGTCTGATTTCACCAACTAGGATGTGACGTTCTATAGTCTGATGATGATATATGTTAAGAGTATGATAAAGTAGTAATAATAAAATATATTTTAAATTTTTTTAAAAAATTTAAAATTAATTTAACTATATGACAACAATAAAGTAAAATATAACAAATATGTTGATAGATATTCTATCTCTCATACGAATTTTTTAAATTAATGAAAGTTGATGGCACAGATTAATTTTTTAAATGTTATAAAATATTAAGAATAAACAAACAATTACAAAGACTAAACTATAAGTAAAAAAATAATAAATTAGAGGAAAAAAAAGTATATATATATATATATAATTTTTTTTTCTTTTACTACACTCTATTATACAAATTCTCTAGTCGTTTTATATAAGCTAAAAACCTATTTTGGTCCCTTATAATCTTTTTTTGGTCGTTCTGATCACTCCAGACTTCTATAAATAGGTCACATGCTTGCAGTTGAGGAGAGAGAAGGGGAACTTAGAGAGAGGTTTTAGAGAGAAGGACTCTAGGTTTGTGAGTTCCTTTCTCTCCTAAACTTCTCTGTATGATTCTTCTTCTCATTTAGATCACCAACATCTTCTGTCTTTTCTTGAAATTCAGACTAGGAAGCTTTCTTTGGGTGGATTGAAGTTTCCAGGTTGAGCTTTGAAAGGAAATTCTACTTCTTATCAGTTCTTGGCCATTTTGAGTCAATTTTTAGGTGAGGGAAGCTAGAATGTTTGTTGTTTAGGTTGCATGTGAGTTTAGAAACTCAATCGATGCATGAATGTTGAGAATCCATGGTTAGATTGGAGAAATTGTTCATTTTGGGGTTTTTGGGAAAATTGGAGTTTTGATGATTTTGATGCATCGGATGAGTGCATGTTGATTTTGAACTTTTTTTTGAGTTGTAGCCTGTGCATTGTGTTTTTGTGTTTGCATGTGACTGGATTTGTTGGTTTGGATGAGTTTTTGAACTCTCTGATTGTGATTAGGCCAAGCGCAGGTTGAGCGCGCCGGACGTGGAAGAGCTTAGGGCTCTCGGGTTGGATGTTAGGTCGGGCGTGATTTGATTGCGCCGGGCGTGAGTGGGTTTGATGTTTTTGGATTGAAATTGACGTTCATGCATGTTTAAAGTTGAAGTTTTAGATTATGTATGTATGATATATGATGTATGGTGAGTAGTGATTCATATGTATGCTTGGTAATGATATATATGAATGTTTAAATATGATATGACATGTGTATATGTTCACATGAAAATGATATTGATCATGATGGTGGGTAGACCATGTATGATGTGTGATGCATTATTGCATGTGATGCCTTATGGCACGAGTATGATTATTGATTATGATAGTGGGTAGACCATGTATGATTTGTGATGCATTATTGCATATGATGCCTTATGGCATGAGTCTAGCCTAGGACTTGATGAGAGGGAAAATGTTTTCGAACTAGAAGAGCTCATATAGAGTCTCTTGAGAGTGGTGCTTAGATAGGCCACTGATATATGAGAGTGGTGCTCAGGTAGGCCACTAGATTTGGGTGAGAGTGGTGCTCAGGTAGGCCACTTGGTTGGGTGAGTCTCCTCTAAGTCCTTAGCTAGTGTTGGAGCGGAGTATGAGGTCGAGGGTTATTCCCTTAACCAAGTACTGGGGAAGGTGCGTGGATCCTTGCGGATAGTCGGTGGGCGAACTCCACAAGTGACTTGGTAATGCATGCCAAGGTCGTGGTAAGCCTGTACCCAACTGTGCTATACTTGACGGTGGATCCGGACTTCTAATTGTGTAAGTGACATCATCTGAGTAAACCTGAGTGAGGATTCTTATTCTGTTTAGCTGTGACCGAGCGAGCGCATTGGGCGTGAAAATGGTTGGGGTGGTTTCGGTAGGATTGAGATGTCACTTATACTGCTCTGCTGTTAGGGAGATCTCCTAGGTATATGCGTGACAACACATTAGATGATTGATATGCATTGATATCTGTCGTGAGTTACATGTATTGCATGATTGTTATGATGATGAAGTGTATGGTGTTTGACTTCATATTTGATGAATGGACGATTGATTGAGATGGAAGTTCCTTTGGGACTTGATTTGGATGCATGTATAGTAACTTAGGGTGGAGCCAAAAGTGACTTGTTAAAAGAATACTTGTATCTTTGTTTAAAGATACTAAAACTTAATCTGTTTGGTTTGAGAATTGG